CAGACTCTCCCACCACCCCCAAACCTGAAGATACAACCCCAGAGACCACAGAGGCACCCAGCACCGAGGCTGACTCTCCCACCAACCCCAAATCAGAAGACACAACCCCAGAGGCTACAGAGGCACCAACAACTGCAGCAGACTCTCCCACCACCCCCAAACCTGAAGATACAACCCCAGAGACCACAGAGGCACCCAGCACCGAGGCTGACTCTCCCACCACCCCCAAATCAGAAGACACAACCCCAGAATCCACAGAGGCACCAACCACCGAGGCTGACTCTCCCACCACTACCTCCAAACCTGAAGACACAACCCCAGAAGTCACAGAGGCACGGAGCACCGAGGCTGACTCTCCCACCACCCCCAAACCTGAAGACACAACCGCAGAGGCACCAACCACCAAGGCTGACTCTCCGACCACACGCAAATTGGAGGAGGCAGAGCCAGACTCTCACAACACTCCTAAGGTCAAGGGGACTACTACTACAGCTACTGAGGCTGACACGACTGTCATACAGAAAACAACACCTATTCAGTTGACAACTACTGTCCCTGGATTAGTGACACTTGCTAAAAAAGACATAACCTCTCAAAGCAGTGATGTGGTTATACCAACTAGGAAGGAAGCAACCATACCTGAAGCAGACACAACTGTTTCAGAAAAAACAGCAGAGAAGACAATTACAGCCCCTGCACCCAAAGTAGCAATGAGCACAACAGCAAAAGACATGACTACAGCAGTAGAAAGGATAGTGGTGACTGCAGCTAGGACTACTGAGATTGTAACAATAACTGACGAAAAGGACAAAACGACAGCTAAAACTGTTACTACTCCTATAACCAAAGGGACAACAACTAAAACAGAAACAACCACAGTGAAGAAAGAGATAACAACACCCAAGAAACACAAAACTACCGTGCTTACAGACATTTTAACAAATAGGAAAGACACAACTACTCTAACTATGGTAATAACAGCTAAACCAGATGACTCTCCTAAAGGTAAGGATGATATTCCAAATACAACTCCTGCAGCCAAGCAAGCTGTCACTATAGCAGCTGAATCAGAAGAAACTACTGTAGACAAAAAGACTGCAACAGTGGCTGCAGAAAAAGAAGCAACTCCATCTAAACAAGACAGGACTCCCATACCAAAAGAAACTTCAACTGCTAAAAAAGAAGAAAGCCCTGTGGGAACAGCAACTCTAACAGCAGCTGCCGCAGCAGCAACAACTCCCTTGCCCAAGCCCACTGTGTTGACAATAACTGCCAAAACAGATTCAACTCCTAAACCCAGGGAGATTGTAACAACAAATAAAAGAGACACAACTATGGCAACTAAGCAGACTGTAACAGCAGCAGCAGCTAAAGAGAGCACAAGTACTACTTGTGTTGTTGTAGAGACAACAACAGCTGGTAAGAAAGAGCTAACAACCAACAAAGAAAGTAGTGTCAGACTTGAAAAACAAATAGAAGATACTGCTGAAAATGCCCCTAGTATTGACAAAGGAGAGGAAATTACAGTTACCAAAGAGACCACTACAAGGGACAAAAAAGACACAATAGAAGAAATGTTTATTGTTTCTAACGGGACATCCAAGCCAACTATACATTTCCAGGAGGTTAGTGACACCAGAGATGAGCCTCAACCAGCTGACCCTGAAACTCCGCTAGTGAAAGAAGAGCCTGAAATAAACAATAAGCCTTTAATACAAACTGCAGACTTGCCAATTTTAACTGGAGAAACACAAGGTAATTGCATTCCAGTAGGTATAAAAGCACCAATAACTCTACCAGAGAGCACAACAAAACATGTGAGTAAAAGACATGCAAGACCTTTCTATCCAGTGCCACAAGAACATGGCACTTCTGTCCCGGTTGTTAACTGTAACCATGATGCTACAGCTGTCAGTGTTATCCCCAAAATGGGGTCCAACACCTAGTGTGTGGTATGCTGATATACACGCAGGGCAGAGGCATTTTATTTCATGTTTGCCCAAAGATGGCTGCTAGGTGCTAATTCCAGAAAGCTAGCACACCATGACATAGGAGTTTCAAAGTACTTGTCTTTTTATGTAATTAGTAAAACCCTGCCTAAATTCATGCTAATTGATTAGTAATTAACATCTCTTCTGCTATTGGTTAGTCACATTTAAATTAGCCTCATTTCCATGTAAATTAGCACTCATACTCCTTGCAGGTGTGAGGAAAGTACCTCTCTCCCCTTGTTCTCGTTTCTGTGGAAAGTTACTGACTTTAAGCCTCTGGGACACTCCTCTATCTTTTGGCACCTTTCGGGGCATGATGTTCCGCTTCCTATTAGTCTTTTAGTTCTTATTCAAGAAGTGGACACAAAGTTAAGATACCTGGGGTATGTTGTCCCTCTCTTTTTATTTAAGGGTAACTGAGTGGTGCAAGTTTCATCACTACTGACCCAAACAGTATGACCCATGGATGGGATTGTATTCCGGCTGCAATCAATGGAACAAAACCTTTCTGTTTGATTAGTCCATGCATCTAGAAGGGAACTAGTTTGATTTGAACATTTACATCGTCATTTCAATACTTGGGTCATGTTGAATTTCAATGGACTTATTTGACGTGGAACAGTTATAGATCAAACTACAATTCCATCTGGGGTGCTTCCTAACAATTTCATTCCAAGTAACACACCAAGGTGTAATTTGCATATACTCCCAATCTCCCATTTCTATATTTTTCCAGACTTTGGGGACTGTCACGCTCCATGGATATAAGTAACAGTTTATATATATAAAAAAATATATTTTTATATATTTATAAATATTTTCATATATATTACCAGCATCCTGAATACTGGTACCTCAGTTTTCAATTGTGGTGTTAATGAAATTCTCCATGTAGTTTAGAGCATGATCTTGTTTCAGTAATTGG